TGGACACGGAGTGGATGCGCTCACAAATGGCTCTCGTCTCTCAAGAGCCCAATCTATTCAGTTATAGTATCGGCGAAAATATCGCTTACGGCGACAATTCCAGGACAATAACTATGGATCAGATTGTATCGGCCGCACAGAAGGCCAACATTCATAACTTTATTAAAGATTTGCCCAATGGTTACGACACTAACGTGGGCTCAAAAGGCACTCAACTTTCAGGTAATTATAATTATTGGCAGTAATTAACTTCTGTATAATCCATTATATACAGTATGTAGTAGTGAACATCTTATCGTATATTTAATACTGTCTTTAAATTAAAATATGTTTTATAATGTATAGGAGGACAGAAGCAACGAATAGCCATCGCGAGAGCATTGGTTAGAAACCCGCAGATATTACTATTAGATGAGGCGACTTCTGCTTTGGATACGGCCTCTGAAAAAGTAATGAGCGCTTAATTAATAGTAATATAAAAGCGATTAATATGTTTATTTTGACAACAGTTAGTTCAGGACGCTCTGGACGAGGCGTCGAAGGGTCGGACCTGTATAGTGATAGCACATCGGTTGACAACCATTCAAAACGCCAATCGGATTGTTGTCATCCAAAGAGGTGCTACCGTTGAAGAAGGAATGCACGAAGAATTGATTGATAAAAAAGGTTTCTATCATGAGTTATATAAAACTCAACCTCAATAATAACAATATTCACAATCATTAGTCTTTAACTTAAATATTTTACAGTATTCTAATATTCTAGAAAACATTTATAATTTAATTTATATTATTTAAATAATTCTCATGTATTTTATAATAATTTTATAATTGAGTATTACGTTATACTAATATTTTTAATAAATTTTTATAAAATAAAATATTTTAATAAATTTGCTTTATTTGATTTAAATATGATTTAAATAAATGTATGTCAATTGATTGTACAATACATGATTGTATACTACGGTGTAGTAGCTATAGTGAACATTTAGTATCACATTTACTCCTGTATACAAATTTACATACAGTAGTAAATTACAAAATACTTTAAAAATTTTAACTTAAAACTTAAACAAGTGTAATATAATAGGCAATGCCTTGGATTGTTTGGCTTAAAACAAGTTTTAGGCATTAGATTAAAACAGATTTTTGAATCTTTAGTAATTTTTTGTGTTTCATTGAAATTTAATTGATTTCCTTTCATATGTGAAACAATACTACGAATGGGAATAA